GGAGTCCGCCGCTATCCCGTCAGCCCGCCGGCAGGCCCCGCTCTCTCCCGCGCCGTCGCCACGCCTCCTCTATCCCGTCCTGCTCTGCGGCTCTGGGGCAAGATGGCTGCTGAGAAACAGGTTCCCGGAGGCGGCGGCGGCGGCGGCGGCAGCGGCGGCGNGCGGACGCGGTGCCGGAGGAGAGGAGAATAAGGAAAACGAACGACCTTCGGCCGGATCGAAAGGAAACAAAGAATTCGGGGACAGCCTGAGTTTGGAGAGTATCCTGGAGTAATGGGGCCTAACTTGGGATGACTACGTGTCGATCTGGCGGGCCGGGGGCGGGAGAGGCCCCGGCTTGTCGCTTCTCTAGCCCTTGCTGTTTGTCACTCCGAGTTCCTGGGTCTGTATTTCGAGCGGTCTTTCCTCGCATCTCTTTCTCCCTCCAGGCTGGGGACCGCCCTTTTCTTTCAGGCGGCCCGGGATGTCGGGGAGATTTCTGCACTTTGTCCGCAGTTGGCCCAGTTGGTGGGCTGGTGGTGGGGTTGACACTCTGGCCAGGGCACCTTCAGCTGCTAAACCGGGGAGAGGAAACTGCAGTCGGTCGGTCTTGACGTTTTGGCATAATACTTTTGTCTGACAGCCGTCGGGGAATGGGTGGTAAAAATCACAGCTGGATGTTCTGCAAGTGAAGGCAGAAGTTGCTCGGAGGAAAAGCTTGTTGCCCCTTTTGAATGCAGATCATCGCAGCTTTTCAGCATCACTTGTGTGTCGCTGTCTTCGTAGATCTGTAGGCGTTCTATCGTGTTGAGAGTTGTCCAGACGAGCTGGAGAAGTTGATTTCTAGTTTACATCAGCGTGTAATCACCACCGAGGGCAGATGACACTCGTTCGTGGGTTTTTGAAATGAAATGACAAGTGGAGAAAATGTAGCTGAGTTTCCGAAATAACTTTTCAAGGGGTTGGAGTTTTACTTGAACTGGTGGTGTATTTCCAAGTAGGTGTTAGGATGCTTTGGTGTTACGACGGACCTTATATCTCCGTATTGAAATGGTCCTTTTTGTTTTCAGTATTTTAAAATACAGCCGTAGAGAAGTATTGAGGAAACTTTAAAAGAAAACTAAAGTTGTCTTCTAAATGTAGCTAAAAGGTGATTGGACTTTCTAAAGTTAGGTACGTCATAAAATATTTTAAGATTCTTAAAAGGAGAGTTTGGTCAAGGCTTTTTCTTTTAAAAGGAAAACTTCAATATTTTAATGCAAACGGTGGCCTAGTTTGGTTGGCATGTGCTCACTGTAGGCTCATGCAGCATCACAGCTGTTAAGGAAAGTTAGATTTGGCAGAAGTAGGAGTTTTGCAAATAGAGGAGTAATACACGTCATTTATAGCTGGAATCTGCTTGAATGAGTACATTACTGGGTCCAGGTGTAAATGTGTGGGAACCTCCCCAGTTACCGTCAGCGTTTAGAGTCCAGCAGCTTTATTTAAGCTCTTGGGTTTCGGTAATAATAGCTAGTTATGGCCTCCTTTTTAAGTTTGAAAGTAGTAATAGCTAAGGCAGTCAGCTTTTCTATGTGTTTAGTCCTGTCCTCTCACAAGACAGCTATTGAAAATGATTACAAGAGGTGTCACTAGTGAATGTGCTAAGTATTTCAGAAATGTTTAATGTGCTGTGGTTTGATACAAATATAGACTAACAGGGACATGTTTTGATTTATTTGGGTTCTTGCCATTGTAAGCTTTCCTTAATCTTGGCTCTAGTTCTTCAGATTATTAAGGAATCGCAGCAGCAGCATGGCTTACGGCATGGAGATTTTCAGAGGTACAGGTTAGTATCATGTGCAAGATATGTGCAAGCCACTGTGGAATTTTCAGACTTAGTTTGCCTTTGTTAATGTCCTATTTACTCTGTGATATCAGAAAGTATACCTAGAAAGTCTAACTCTGAACTTACATTGAGTCCTCAAAAGATACTTAATTTTCAAATTTAAAGTTTTATAATGAACACAAGGAGCCAGCCTTTTATCCATTTTGCCTCACAGTGTTGCAGATACGTTGGAAGCTTCTGCTGAAATTAATAAGCAGCTAATGGTGATCATTTCTGGTTTTCTAGTTATTTTATTCATTATTGCATTTTAATTGGATTTTTGGTGGTAAAATATACATAATATAACGTTGACATCAATATGTACCTTCCAGTTATTTTAATGTCTTTAAATACATAAATACATTTGTATATGTGTGCCTACCAAATAGTATTTTTGGTTTTCTAGTCTTTTTCTATGCACTTTTTCATAAATTTGCTCATATTGTATGTACTACAACTTTGTATCCCACGTTTTTGCTAAATATTATATTGTATGTATTTCTCCCTGCCTATAAAAATGTTCTACACACATGACTCTTCTTTTTTTTTTTTTAATATATCTTTATTGATTTCAGAGAGAGGAAGGAAGAGGGGGAGAGAGAGAGAGAAACATCAATGATGAGAGAGTCATTGATTGGCTGCCTCCTGCATGCCCCCAAATGGGGATCGAGCCTGCAACCCAGCATGCGCCCTGACCGGGAATCGAACCGTGATCTCCTGGATCCTAGGCCGTCGCTCAACTGCTGAGCCATGCCCAGCCGGGCCACACATGGTTCTTACTAATACCCAGTATATATGCACACCATAATTTATTTACCTTTTTCCCAGAGTTGGTTATGTATATGACAGTCAGTTTTGTGGGTTTAAAACTTTTGTTCCCATGGATCTCTGTTCAAACCTCTTTGTATTTCTGATTATTTCTTGAGTATAGAATAGTACAGAAGTAGACTTGGTTTAGGGAGTATGGACATTTTTAAGGATCATGATAAATGTATCCATATTGCCAGAAAATTCTTACCAATTTATATTTCTCCCCATAATGTGTGAGTGTTCCATTTGATTTTATGTAAAAGGGTAAGTGATAATTAAAGCAAAAGTTATGAATGGAGGGAAGAGATCTAGTTTATAGATTAAGACATACTTATTTTTCTTTTTAATAAGCTATACCCTGGTAGCTTTAGGACTAAGATGCTAAAGTATCATTAAAATATTATTCTGTATTTTAAATTATATGCTATATTATTTGGTTAAGGGTTGGTAAAATTTTATATGTATTTTTACACTAGTTTAGTCAAAATACTTTTACCAAGCATCTATATGTTAGGCACTGTGCTAAGAAATTTGAAAATAAAATCATCTTTGCACTAAAGGAGTTTATATTAGTGAAGCAGACATGTAAGAATTTAATTATAATGCTCTATACTATAATAAAAGTAAGAATAAAGAGCTACATGAGCAGAGGGAGGCTTGGCATAAGAGGTTCCTGCTCATTCTTTCAAAACCCATGACTTTCCAGTGAAAGTGTTAACAAGAAGAGAATGGTTAATATTGTCCTTTAGATTCAATTTGACACATGCTTTGTTTTCTTGGTTGCCATTTTATCTGCATGATCCTCCGCAACTAGAGTATGGGTTCTTTGGGAATGGGTACTGTGTCCTTTGTGTCTTAGTGTTTTTTGTGATGCCAGTCCAACTGCCCTGCATGGTTTAGTTCAGTGATTGTTTGCAAGATGATATGTGGTGTCTGTAGTCACCATAAGTAGAACATGTTAAACCCTTGATCTTACCTTATTGTAGAGCTGACCATTGAAAGTACTCTCAGCCTGGCTGAAGGATTGTTGTTTGTGGTTTCTTACAGGGGCTACTGTTCCCGGAGACAAAGACGTCTCCGGAAAACACTCAACTTCAAGATGGGGAACAGACACAAATTCACGGGGAAAAAAGTAACTGAAGATCTTCTGACTGATAACAGGTAGTGACTGCTTAGTGCTAGGTGCTGAGTACTTTTTGCTAATGCATTTATTGAACAATTACAGTGTGCCAGATATTGTGCCAGACTCTTTAAATTGTCTCGTGATTTTTTAGCAGCTCTGTGGAGTGGGCATTTGTACTATTGCTATGTTAGGAAACTGAGGCTCATAGAGGTTCAAGAACTGTGGTGGAGTGGTAAATGTTAAAGTCAGTGATTAAAATCTAACCAGCAGATTTCAGTGTCTGAGTGCTTACTTCAGTCAGTATATCTTAGGTGACATTGGGCCATGTGTAAATTTTACAGAAGAGTCCTGTGTTTCAGAGCTGAACGCACCTGTGCTTCATGTTTGCTGATGAAGTAGTCTGTCAGGCAACATGTATTGAAGATCTAGGTCAGTTCCTCAGACTTCGACCTGTGGGCCAAATTGGTCCTTCTGCCACCTGTTTTGTAAATACTATTTTATTGGAACATAGCCACACCATTTGTCTAGTATTGTTTACAGGTGCTTTGTGCTACAATAACAGAATAATTGTGACAGAGACCATATCGCTTACATAGTCTAAAATATTTACTATTGGGCCCTTTACAAAAAAAGTTTGCTGTCCCCTGGTCTAATATGTGGCCAGAACTGAGCTAGACCCCGTATTGGATGTAGAAGAGTTTAGGAGGCATAGTTCTTGAACCTCATTGACTGTGATCTTGTTCAGAGATGTTGGTCAAGTACAAAACAGGAAACACTGAAAGACAGCAAAACTACTGTACTGTGTGTCATTGACTCTTAAGAATTCTGAAGTCTTGGAAGGGAGAGATTAGCTTGGGGATTAACAGGGAGCCAGGAAGTCTGCCTGGAGGAGGTTGGACCATGAAGGATTTGTGAGAGGAAAGAACGTTCTGTGTCAGGTGCTCAGGAACTGTCCTGCTCTGGACAGTTAGCTTCTGCTCAGGCAGTGAGGAGGCTGGGAGCGTGGTGTGTGGAGACAGTCAGAAAACTAGAGCACAGATACTGATGGGATGGGCAGGTTGTATTGAGTAGATCTGATGTGGTTGAGCTTGGAAGGGTCTCTTCAATAGCGAGAACCTTTATTTGAAGAGAGAAGATTAAGCTGATGTTTAAGGAAGATGAATCAGGCAGTAGTTTAAACAAAGATTCACTGCAGTAATAATAAAGTAGCTAATTTATTCAGCATTTAGCAAGTGCCAGGCTCTGGTCTAAGTGTTTTACATGTGTACTGCAGGGAGAGTCAGGCACAGAAGGCTTAGTACTTTGCCCAGAGTCACCCAGCTAGTGAGTGATGGCACTGAGATTCCAGCCCAGACTCTAGAGGCTTTTTCTTAACCACCTCAATGTACTGCCTCCTAAGGCCTTGGTTTCTAACTGGGTTGGGATGAAGGAGGTGTGGATTCAAAGGTGAGGCCTCTATTTACTAAAATTTGGGAGAAGTCAGTCTAGGTTTGCCGTTGAGGTGGGAGCAGGCTTTTCAATGAGATATACGTGAAGGTTGGTTAGAAACCTGAGGTGGCGCCTGAGGCGGGAACAGAGATGCTGGTTTGGGGTCCTGGCTGATGCTGTTGGAAGAGTAGTCAGGAGGTGGGCCAGGGAGCACGTAGAGAGAAGTTGAGAGGCTGTAGGTTGTGCCTTGGAGAATGCCTGAGTCTGATGCTCCTGGCCTTTACTCTTCAGCTCACTTGCTCTTGTCTCTGGTGTAGATATTTGCTTCTGGTTCTGATGGATGCTGAAAGAGCCTGGAGCTATGCCATGCAGCTCAAACAGGAAGCTAACACTGAACCCCGAAAACGGTTCCACTTGTTATCTCGCCTGCGCAAAGCCGTGAAGCATGCAGAGGAATTGGAGCGCTTGTGTGAGAGCAACCGGGTGGACGCCCAGACCAAGTTAGAGGCTCAGGTTAGTGTCCTAACCTCGGCCTTGTTTTACTGTGGAGATTAGAGATGTGACTTTAAAATAATACAGTGAAACAGAACAGTTTCTTAGGTTTCTTTTTCTCCCCCATCGCCCTCCAGGCTTACACAGCCTACCTCTCAGGAATGCTGCGGTTTGAGCATCAGGAATGGAAAGCTGCCATTGAGGCTTTTAACAAATGCAAGTAAGTTCTCCGATCCAAAGGCTGTGGCCAGTTTTGGTTCTAGACAGTCACGTTCCTTCCAGCTGGTGGTCGTTTCTGTGAAAGTCAGTACAGTGTCTTGTTCTCTTCCCTTTGCAAGTGTTGGCTGTTCTCTTTCATCCTCAGACCGCGCCAGTTCCGGTAGTTGGTAGAAGGGCCTCAAAGTGCCATGTTTTGTTTTTAGCCACCATGTTCCTTGTGAGTTTGTTTTCTTAAAATAAGGCTGCTATGAAGGCTGGTGTTTTTTTCCTTGCAGAACTATCTACGAGAAGCTTGCCAGCGCTTTCACGGAAGAGCAGGCCGTGCTGTACAACCAGCGTGTGGAGGAGATCTCACCCAACATCCGCTACTGTGCATATAACATTGGTGAGCACAGGGTGGCCGGCGGTCCATCTCAGAGAGCCTGGACTTTATGCCTCTCATCCATTTTCGACGTGGCTTTTGGTTGATGAAAACGTAGAACTGTCAGAGTCAGCTCTGCTCAAATCGCAGAAGGCAGTGCCTTTGCTTTCGTTTCTGCCCTTCCATCTTCTGCGCCCCATGAGCTTCATACAAGGACTGGGAGTCACTGTACCTGCTCGTGGAAGGGGAGTTCCTTCACGTCGGGGGTGAACCTCCTTCACGTGGGAGGTGACCCTAGTGGTTTTGGAGAGAACAGACCAGACCAGACCCTTGAGCATTTTCTACTCTCTCTCCTTCTCAGGGGACCAGTCAGCTATCAGTGAACTCATGCAGATGAGACTGAGGTCTGGGGGCACCGAGGGTCTTCTGGCTGAGAAATTGGAGGTAATCTAGTATGTACATTCTTGTGAAAAATCTTTTTTTTAAAAAAGTCCAGAAAAAGGAGTCCATAATCCCATCACCCAATGTAATTACTATTAATAGGTGCATATTTGTATCTGTATGTTTTTAGTAAAGTTTTTTCATTTAATATTTTTAATATTTCATTTAATATTTTTTCATTTAACATTTTCATGATGTTTCATTTATTTTCTAAGCAATATAGGCTCATAGAAAAAGTAGGAAATACAAAAGATGGGGGGAAATAGAATCATATAGGTTACCACCCAGAGGAAGCCACTTCGAATACTGTGAAGAAAATCTTGCAGACTTCTGTGTGTGTAGGGATAAAGACATGTTTTTTAAAAATGGGATCTCAGTATACAGTTTAGTAACATTCTTTTAAAATATAACGTCACATGTGGTTTTTCCCCTTCAATAAACACGTTTCCACGTCGTCTTTTGTTGGCCGTGTGGTACGCCTCTGAAGTGTGTTTTATTTCACCGCTTCACTGTTACTAAGTGCTAAACAGGATTACCGTAAATATCTGTGTTCCCAGTTTTTGTACACATTCTTAGTTATTTCCTTAGGATAAGTTCCTAAAATGGAATTGAATGTTTTGGAAGCTTTTGATACATACTGACAAATACTTCAAGTTTCTACTAATTTACGTTTCTGCCTGTGGTATATACAGAGATGCTTTCTTCTCCCACCCTTACCAGAACTTGGTGATGGCCTTTCTAACTTTCTGTTTTGTCCTTTTAAAATTTGAGATTCTGTAAGCCAAGATACATTATACCAAGGAGGAATTTAAATAAATTTGTATATACTCTATAAGGTATAATATGTTGGTTTTAGAAGGAGAGAAATACTAATTTCTGTTTATTTCACCTTGGTCACTCATATCCGTCAGTGAAAGCTTTAACTCTGAAACTGCTTTCCAGGCATTGATCACTCAGACTCGAGCCAAGCAGGCAGCTACCATGAGTGAAGTGGAATGGAGAGGGAGGACAGTCCCGGTCAAGATCGACAAAGTGAGGATCTTTCTATTGGGATTGGCTGATAACGAGGCAGCCATTGCTCAGGTGAGGAGGAAGTGCCTATTCGCTCTTCTGTGTCTGTCTGAAGAGGTGTGAGTATGTGTTTAAGAAGTAGTATTTTGGCCTGGCCGGGTGTGGCTCAGCAGTTGAGCATCGACCTAGGATCCAGGTGATCAGGGTTCGATTCCCGGTCAGGGCACCTGCCCAGGTTGCGGGCTCTATCCCCAGTCAGGGGCATGCAGGAGGCAGCCGATCAATGACTCTCATCATTGATGTTTCTAACTCTCTCTCTCCTTTCCTCTCTCTGAAATCAATAAAGATATATTTTTTAAAAAAAGAAAAAAGTATTTTGTTAGTATTCATTTTCACAAAACAAAAATTTATCTTAATGCTGCTGGGAATTTGTTAACAGCCTCAAGATGCAGCCTCTTGAATAAAATTTTTTTAAAAGCTGAGTTGATAGAGAAGATGTTATGTTTAAAGGGCAAAGAAATTGACAGCGATAGTCATCAACATAACAGTGGGAGCAGTAAGAAGTTGGCTTAAGGTAAGGGGTAACTTTTGGCCCAGCAGGTGGTGCAGCAGCTTCACTGTAATGTCTCTCTAGTCTCTCTGACCTCTTGTCCTATCCTTCTAGCCCTAAAGGGGCAGCCTCTTGTTCCTGGGCCTTTTAAGGAGAGCCTAGCTAAGCCAGAATATCTTGTTTGATGTGCAGTAGATATATAATATTCATGCAGAGCTGCTTACTGACATAATTGTTGCCTGTTTGTGGGTGTGAACAACCAAGTGAGTTTCAAAAGATAAGATCCTGGTGCTTTTGGTTTGTACAAAGTACTCAGTGATTAAGGCACTCGTAGAGCTCCTCCTCCATGGGAGGCAGAGCGTCTTTTAAAAAAGCCAGGCTGTTTAGCATGTCCACAACCTCACCGAGGACCAGTGGTGTTTCTCTCCTGAGACTCCATGGTAAACTGTTGGCCTGAGTAATTTGCATACGGGGTACTTTGTTAGTTGTGCTGATGAGTTGTTTTAAGCCTCCAAACTTTTCAGTGACTTGTTCCGAAATAGCTGCTTTGGTTTGAGGACAGCTTTCAGCAGTGGAACTACCTGTGCCTCTGTGTCGCATGTCGCCCTTCTCATTTCACCTTTATTTGCTTAAAGGACAGGACTAGAACAATGCCAGGAAGCTTTCCGCCCCCTTAAACTAAGAGATTGGGAAACAGTGAGAGCATTTCATTGCACTAGAGTGCGGCAGTATCTTCTGGACTGGGGCTCTGGTTGCAACAGTCATTTAGATTATGTGATCAGGGTAGTTACTTTGTTTTAACGTCATACATGCTGGAAGAACTGCCATCAGTGACAACGAGGCAGGAATTCTGGCTAGAATGGGGGGGCCCACAGGGTAGATTCAGTGGGAGCACCGTAGGATGGCCACAGACATGTATCAGATAAAGGACAAGAAAAGCTAACATTTATTAAGTCTTAAAAGTTATTCCGCTTAAAGGTTAGAAAACATAAACTCACTTTCCGTTTACTTTGGTCAATAGTGCATTGTGCTACAAAGGAAACCAGGGTATTGCCTTTTAGTCTTTCTTGTATTCACGAGATGTTGTGTGTTTTTTACTTGTTGGAGTTATACTGAGTTCCAATTTTGTATCCTGTCTTTATTAAAATTTTATATCTAAACACAACTACTGCTCGTTCTGTGTCCCCCTAGTTTTCAGCTGCATGTTTATGTTATTAAATAGAGTCTGTGTAAGCCCTGACCGGTGTGTGCAGTGGTTAGTGCATCGGCCCATGCACTGGAGGGGCGCAGGTCGGATTCCCGTTCAAGGACACCTACCTGGGCTGCAGGTTTGATTCCCACCCGTCGGGGAGCCTGCAGGAGACAGCCACTTGATGTGTGTCTCTCACATCGATGTCTCCCTGAAAGCAGTGGGGAAAGTATCCTCCCTCCTTGGGTGAGGAATAAAGAAATGTTCATAGTCTGTATTGTTTCGCTGCTTGTGGGGTAGGTCGTGCTACCTCCTGTTAAGTGCCTGGTTGACTTCCTAGTGGTGGTGGATACAGTTATCTCGGGGTTTTCCCCCAGTCCTCACCCGAGGATATTTTTTCCGTTGCTTTTCAGAGACAGTGGAAGGGAGAGAGTGAGAGCAAGAGAGACAGTGATGTGAGAGAGACACATGGGTGGGTTGCCTCCCGCACATGCCCTGACCAGGGCTGGGGATCGAGCCTGCAACCCAGGGACGTGCCCTTGGCCAGAATCAAACCTGGGACCCTCAGTCCATGAGCTGACACTCTAACCGCTGAACCAAACCAGCCAGGGCAATTATCTCTGGTTTTTAACAATGTTACAGTATGTTAGGGTCACTTCTGAGTGTCAGAGATCTTTAAATAATGTGGTAGATATAAAAGAGTAGATTAAACAAAATGTGTATTAGTCCCAGGGAATCCTGGTAGGGTTTTAACGTTAAAAACAGTTTAGTGCCACATGTCCTCTATCACACATATACCAAATCCAGCTGGTAAATAAAATAATTAAGTACAGTGTCAAAGTTAATTAAATCCTTAGGTGTCAAATCTAGTTGATTAACAGTCTATTGAATTGAATGACTCGTAGGTTATTAAATATGGAAAATACCCTTTAGCCATTTGAGATTAACCCCAAGAAGAACCAGTTGCCCCTTGGTGCCACTGTCATACGATCCAGCTGCTCGAACGTGGACCTTACCCTCCTTGCCAGTTCTCATTGTGCCGAGTTTTCTGCCCTGGAAACCAAGAGCTGTGTCTTAGAGAGAAGGGCTCTTCATTTCGGTGTCTCCTAACTGACCTGATACGGGTATTTGCCACCCTCTAGGAGCTGGGATGCAAGAATTTGGTGGTAGTCCCAGTTTACTGCTTGCTTGTTGAGGTTTTTATGACTTTAAATACTGAAACAGTAGTTTACTGAAAAGCATGGAAGGAAGAAATAATTCAGGGAGCTAAAACATTGGACTGAAAAGACTGGAGCTGAGAGTGAATCAGCTGCCAAAATCCAATTGCAAAATCCTGAGTCTCTTCAGCCAGGCTTTAAATCTTCATGTCTTTAGTATTGTCTTACTTTATAATTTATTTCTATTTTGCTTTATTTATACTTGGTCCCCCGAATTGTCACTGTGGTTGCATTGTGAGGCAGCTCTATGGGGAGGGGAGGGCAGGGTTTAAAATATCTGAAGATTGGATGATTCTTACCAAGTTGTGGTTAATATGTTAATCTTTGAGTGGAAAGGAGACCATTTATCCTTCTGTTTTTAAAAAAAATCTGTTCTTAAGTGAGGTATGTATCACCGTTTTCCAGATACCCATCGTGTTTCTAGACCTCCGTGGGCCAGGTGAAGCTTGGTGCCCATCCTTGGTGCTTCTGTGGGTGTGGTCAGACTTGCCTCGTTCATCTCTTAGTCATAGCACCTCCTTCCAGCAACATTTGTAGACAAGTGAAAACAGCCTGGGAAGTCTGTCTTTGGTGCAGGGGGCGTCTCTAGTTCAGGACATACAGTAGCCAGTTTTCCTCTGTATCAGTGAGCCAGGAGAGGTGGCCTCAGGCTGCATCCTGGGATGTTTGAAGTTTTATAAAATTGATCTGGAATATCTGCATTAGGACTAATGAGTGACACATCCCTTCTGGGCCTGAGGTTCCTCTGTGTCTTAGGTACACCTGGGGAAAAGGACCAGGGGGCCACAGCTCTTATGCAGGGAGTGTGTTTGGAGCACCTTTTGCTGGTTCAGTGGCAGACCTGTGGGGTCTGCGTGTGGATTTTGAGGAATCCCGCTAGATGTGTAGAGAGCTATTTCTTGTTCCTTTGTCCTTTCAGGATTATCTTAGCCTCCACCATAGGTTTATAGAATAAAAGTGTAAATAGCAAAATGTTGGAGACATTTGCCTAGCCCAGAGATTAGTGGTCTCTGAGTCACTGTGCACAACTGACGGATGTCCTCCCTCAGATAGGCTTTTCCTTCATTGTGGTTTCAGTCTCCTGTAGAATTCCCCATGGAACTAGAGTGTTGTGGACACAGTGGGAGTTTAGCTTTGCTCAGCACCTCGATGCAGAGGGGTCCTCATCAAAGGGAGTGAAGGGGACACATGGCAGTGAAGAGGTTTAGCAGTATTTTCATTTTCTTATTTGACCCTCCCTGCAGGAAAGGAGACAGATCCTGTGTAGCTGGTAAAATAAAGTTTACCCTTTTCTTACTTACACACCCATTGCCCCAACCTCGAACCTCGCCCATCTTTAAAAGGGTGTTGGCGTAATTGCTGGATTGCAGGTATCAGACTGGAGCAGGAGTTCACCCTGCCTTCTGAGGATGCGGCTCTGTTCTGAGTGTGGTTGGTGCCAAGTCTATTCTCAAATCTTACTCCAATTAAACTATTATATGTCTGCCCTGTTCCACAGGCTTTTTACTTTGAAAACTGGCCAGCAAGTTTGATTAAAAGATTATACAGAATCTTGTAACTGAAGTGCTTAACAGTGGTTTGTATTTGTGGAAAGTGTGTTTCTCCAGAGCTGCACTGTCCAGTACAGCAGCCACTTGAACACAAATGTCTAAGTTTAAATTCATGAAAACTTAACAGTGCTCAGTGATCAAATGGAGCTAACACCTGTCATATTGACAGCGCATGTGGTCATTGTGGACAGTTTCACGGACAGCGTGGCTCTAGGTTTCAGTGAGTTGATGGTGGCCGAGTTGGCCTTTATAGACTCATAGAGTGACCATGTCCTGATTTGTTCCTGAGTTAGGGAACAACCGGGGAATCGCGTGGCTTATAAATAGAAAAGTGTGTTTGATTTATGTTGGGTAATTCACAAGGGCTTTTTTTTCATACTGAAAACTAGGACAAACATAAGAGTTCTTAAGAGAAGAAAAGATCTTTCTTTAAACCCCTGCCAACTACCCCCTAAAGGCGTGGGCAGTCCTGGGTTTTCTTTCGCACTTTCTGAGAGGTCAATTGAATGTCAAGAGATAGGATTGGATGTTAGTTTCTGTGGAAAGTCAAACATGATAATGGAATGGATGTTTTCATGTCGCAGTGGGTCTACCAGTAACACAAGTTCACCTCCTCTCTGCCTCTCGTCCGTTCCTACCTGCTCAGTCGGATTCTTTAGAACAGTAATGTGGTATGGCAGGTATTCATTCAGTTAATGAATCACCTTTCCCTTTTCCCAGCTGGCCAGCAGAGGGGTGACGCCCTGTGCTTGTGCAAAGACTGTCTTTGAGTACTTGTCAGCCTGTCTGCCCTAAAAATGTTCTCAGCAGAGCCATGTGGAATATCTGGGTGCAGACTTTCGGTGATGAAGAGAACTCGTATGATATGGAAGAGAGATGTATTTCTGATTGGTTATTGATTAGTAGTGTTACCCACTTGCTTGGACCTAAAAGAAACCCAGTGTCAGCAAGTCTGTTGGCTTACATTTGTAGGGATAATTCTGCTGGCACACAGTGGAGTTTAAGACAGTTTGTTCTGGAGGGAGAAGGGAAAAGAAACCTCTGGCGTGCTTCAGTGTGAAGTAGCAGTGCCCAAATCTCGTCTGTAAGGCCCCTTCAGGATGCCAGGGGCAGGTCCTGAGCACAGGTGGAATGTTGGAGGAAAGTAGTAGAAAGTTCTGGAATAGGAAACAATTCAAAGCATCTGTTGCCTGGCACATAGTTTCAGATGTTATGCAGACACTTTTTCAGTACATTCACTTTACTTATATATAAAATTCCCGTTTCCATATGAATAATGAACAGGACTGTAAGAAAAGTCTTATATGGTGTGGAATAGTAACAGTTGAAATGCTCTCTGACTTGGGACACTTTTTGCTGGTGTGTACTTGGAATCAGCGCTGTTACACCCCCCTCCCATCTGAATATTGTGGCTTCCTCAAGGGGAAACCTTCACTCGTTCTGCCTTTGTTTAGGCTGAGAGTGAGGAAACCAAGGAGCGTCTGTTCGAATCCATGCTCAGCGAGTGTCGGGACGCCATCCAGGCTGTTCGGGAGGAGCTCAAGCCGGATCAGGTAGGACCAGCAGCTGAGCCACTGCCTCTTGCTCTGGGCGGAGGTCCTCCTTGTTCTTCGTGGCTCATTCCCAGGTGGGGCCCTGGTGGGCTGAGTGCAGTGGCTCTTAGCCACTGTTGTTTTGGGGTGTGGTGCTTGGCTAACAAGCAACGAAAGCCTCTGGGCTCTATCAAGTTGAGGAATTCTCTTTCTGTCCTGTTTCTCCTAGTGGTTTCCTGTATTACCTGTTAAGCTTCTGGTCTCAAATTCATCTCTCCAGGAAGACTTCTCCAGGGCTCCCTTTTTCTAATAAAATCGCTGTGGCTCATTGTCATCTGGGAAACCTTACAGCCGTTTTTGCGTCTTTCTTCCCTGTTACCAAAACCCCTGCGTACTCTCCCTTTGTCGTTTCTGCCTCGCGCTGGTGTGCTCACCGTCCTTCACACGCCTCTCCCACCTTGTCTCCTTACACTCTCCTTTCCTTTCTCACTCCCGGCTTACCTCTTCTCCCAGGCAGGCTGCACCTGTTTCGTAGGGTCCAGGTCATAGCTCACTGTCTCAGAAGCCTGCCCTAACCATCCTAGGCCACAGAGATCTCTCCATTTTCCACATATTTCGTACCTACAGCCAAAGGTTTTGTTTGATAGTTAATCAAGAATTGCCTTTTAACATTTTTTGTATTGTTTTATTTTGAGTTCTTCCCCTCAAGATTATAAGCATGTTAAAAGCAATGATACATTTTCTCCAGTATCTGCCATGGTACATTGGGTATAAAATGTCTAATAAATATTGGTTAGGCTACAGTCACCTGTCTCCCTTTCCCTTTAAGATGTTTTTGTACGTTACACTTCCCTTCATCCACTGAACAGGTACAGGCAGAGCGCCAGCCTCCATCATTCACCTTGAATTCCAAGCAGTTGAGGGATGCGGATACCCCGCAGAGCAGGGTGGATAGGGTGATACCAAGGTGTATCCGTGCCCTGGCGCTGCTGTAACAGCACTGCACACTTAGTGGCTGCAGACAACACAACTTTATTTTCTTAACAGTTCTGGAGATTGGAGTCTAAATGGGTTCTCAGGGCTGCATTCGTGGAAGCTCGAGGGACACTAGGGGAGAATTCATTTCTGGTATTCCAGAGAATGCATTTTCTGCTTCTAGAAGCCACCTGCATTCCTTGGCTCATGGTCCCTTCCTCCATCTTCAAAGCCAGCGGCATAGCTTCTCTCTTTTCTGACCTTGGCCTCAGTCACTATCTCACTGACTCCTGCCTCCTACTTATAAGGAGCCTGTGACTGCATTGGATATTCTAAGCCAAGCAAAGATCCTTAACTATCACATCTTCAAGGGCTCTTTGCCACGTAAGAGAACCTCTTCACAGGTTCCAGAGTTGAGATTGGACATGTTCAGGGGTTATCACTCAACCAACCACAAAAGGCAGGAACTGATGGCACAGAGGGTCCAACTGGGGTTGAAGGCCACACCCTAAGGGGAGCCATGGACTGCGGAATGTCTGCAGCTAGTGCTGTGGACCTGGCTACGGGGAGCTGCACACAGGAAGCAGACTTACCGGCCATTACTCTGAATTCCCTTACCTTCCTCAAGTCCAGTTTTCAGATGCCAGTGGCAACTGTGGGACCCTGTTGTAGAACATGTCCGATAGATCTCTGGTGTTTGGGGACCCCTTCCGGGGCACTGTGGGGCCTGCACCACCGAATGAGGAGGTCAGAGCCGAGGATAAGATCAGTTGTTTACCTTTTTGCTTCTGCAGAAACAGAGGGATTTCACCCTAGACGGGGAGTTGGGGAAGGTCTCTAATCTTCAGTACCTACACAGGTAAGGGCTGTGATTTTTTTACTTTTTAAGTATTATATAGTACATCATTGGAACAAAGGAGTATATATAAGCTTCGTGTATGTTTTACTATATAATTTAATATATAATAAGTGATAGTAATGTATCTACACGTTTTACCTGTAAGAGCATGTGCACCGCATTTGGGGTCCTGAGCTCTACACAATTTAAAGTTGTACGCAGCGTAAGAACTGGAATAGATCCAGCGGCTCTGAAGCACCCGCTTGACTCCTGCTTCTCCAGGCCTAGCCGCTCTGGTCACCCTCCCCTCTTCTGAGTGTTTGACACTGTCCCTCTCACGTTTAAGTTCAAACTCAAGTTTAATTCCATCTGAAGTTTATGTTTGAGGGGTAAGGATCTGCTTCACTTTCCCCGTGAAGTGCTGGATTGTTCATACAGTTTATCCACGGCTCTGGCCTCCATGCCAACCTGCAGAGCTGGCCCTGTGAGGCGCACCTCCATTCATTTTTCCCAGCATGCTCCTGTGGGCTCCTCTCCTCCGCTGATGGATGTCTGCACTTACGCTGAACCTGCTTTACTGTAATTTATAAGCAGTCTCGGATCTGGTAGAGCAAGTTTCCCCCACCAGCTTTTTCCTCAGGCATATCTGACTGCTTCTGTCCCTTTGCCTTTTTGTGTACATTTCTGCATCATCTTGTCAAGTTTAATTTTTTTAAAAAGTGGATCATTTGTTTCACAGAAGAAAGGAGGAAGGAAGAGCTACAATTTTTGGAACTTTTTGGGGAGAAATAAAATCAGTTGGGAAAAGTCCATTTTTCGTCAGATTCGGTTCTCCATGTGTCTGAGAAATTAAAATTTGAGAGGGGCAGCTGTCATGTGAGCATGTCATCCTTGTAGTGTGAGTGTGGGCCAGGCCATGAACTAGTCCTTGTTCAAGGAACAAGCTTGCTATCCATGGATCATCTTAAGGACTACCTCTGGGATTAGTAGCTCTGCACTTCTTAAAAAAAGAAACAGGTTATAATTCAGGCTACATCCAAAGTCTCATACTGGTCTCCTACATATTTGCCGCTGAACAGCCAGAACTGAGGGCCCCATGAGCTTGAAGACCAGGCTAAATGGCTCTGCCATGTGACATGCCCTCACCCCCACGCTTCCCCTAGGTCAGTCTCAACTTGTGGTCCTGTGCTCTTCTCAGAATGTCAGCTTCCTGAGCATAACCTGAGCTGACATGTGCTACATTCCAGCTACCTGACTTACATCAAGCTGTCGACAGCGATCAAGCGCAACAAGAACATGGCTAAAGGTCTGCAGAAGGCCCTGCTGCAGCCGCAGCCTGAGGATGACAGCAAGCGCTCTGCCCGGCCCCAGGACCTGATCCGGCTCTACGACATCATTCTGCAGGTGCCCCTGAGGCCTGGCAAGCAGGCGCTTGGCCTGTGCATGAGTTGGGCACCAAGTGACTTTGCTTTTCGTAGTGAAAGGGTGGTGACAACCAGCAGCTGTTAGTGTCTTGTCCTTGTACCATTTCAGTAGTCTGTGACCCCAATATTATCTGTTTATTTTATTCTTTTTTTAAATTGATTTGGATTGGGGGGAGAAACATTGATATGAGAAACATTGATAGGCTACTTCCCACATGCGCTCCAACTGGGGTTTGAACCTGCCACCTTTTGGTGCATGGGACAATGCTCCAACCAACTGGAGCCACCTGGCCAGGGCTGTGACCCTTATACTTAATGTGTTGATGTGCAGAGACTAATGAGCCCACAGGTTTCACAGAGCACTTTGTCTGCGTGTGGGCCTCACCCACATGCTGTGGCGCATCCTGAGACCAAGGTCACAGTGTCCCGTGAGCAAGACTGTGGGACACATTCACACACAGGCATCCATGTAGATGCCAGACGAGCAGGCAAGCTTGAAATAAATGGAAGGGTAGAGCCTGAAATGCAAGTGCAGAGCCTGAGCCGTCCCCTCTGGCTACACTGCTCTAAGAAGTCTCTGGAAGGGGTAAGGTGTGGGCTGAGCAGAAAGGACAAGTAGGCTCTCAGCGTCACAGGTGGTGGAGGTGACAGGTGTGACTCCCCTTCCATCTCAAGCCCGGGCTGTGCTCTCACCTCGTTGTTCTTACCCGGTCTGAGCCGCCCCTCGTGGGCTCCCTTTTTGCGTCTTGCGCAGAACCTGGCAGAACTGCTCCAGCTCCCCGGCCTGGAGGAGGACAGCGCCTTCCAGAAGGAGACGGGCCTCCGGGCCCTGGTGTACAAGGCCTACAGGTGCGCGGGCGGGCGCGGCTCTGGTTACCTTGCCCACGGTCAGGGAGCGGCCCGGGGTGTTCGAGGGAAGTCTCAGGTTGGGGCTGCAGTTTCCAGTGCCCCTCCTTTGCTCCTGGGTAGGCTGGAGCCGGACAGCACACCCGTTAAGTGTCTTCTCCCTCCTCTCTGCTTCCTCCCCGTGGAAAAGGAACAGTGCTGGAAGGGTCCACAGCAGAGCCAGGGCTGAACCGGAGCAGAAGCTAGAGAAAGCTGGCTTCTCGGTTTTTAAACGACTCATGTTTTTACTGGGATGTGGGCTGTGGAGCAAGAGGGGGTCTGGACGGAGTGGCCAACTGGAGCCCTTATTATTTTGGCCTTCACACCCCAGCACTCTGACTCCCCAGGGTGCCCGTCTTGGCCACATTGCCCTTCTTCTGGCCCCTGGGGACCCTTCCATCCTGTTAGGCTGGCAGCCCTCCGACTTTGCTGATCCCAGTGGACTGGTTTCCATTAGGAGGGTTTGGGATTTGGTTTTTGAAAGATGAGCAGAGATGAACGATTGACTGATGTATGGGTGGTGCTGGGTGGCATTTATTTTGGACCTTCACTGTCACCTCCGATTGTGGGGAAGAGAGCAGCTTAGCCCAGCAGACCTGCGCATTGAGAATAGTCCCAAGCCGTGACCCTGAGGTTAAGAAACCTGTTTCCAAATCTAAAAGTTAGCCCTGGCTGAGTAGCGCAGTTGATTAGTGTGTCATCCCAATACTCCAAGGTTTCGGGTTCAATCCGTCAGGGCACATACAAGAATCAGCCACTGAGTGCGTGAATAAGTGGGACGACAACTCTCTAAAATCAAGTAAAATTTTTTAAATTTAGTCTAAACTTCCAAGGAAGCCTTGCACTTGGGGAACTGTTGCTCTAGAATTCTGGCTTTTTTCCTGCCCCCCAGGTGCTTTTTTATTGCTCAGTCCTACGTGTTGGTGAAGAAGTGGAGCGAAGCCCTTGTCCTATATGACCGAGTCCTGAAATACGCAAATGAAGTGAGCGCAGGGTCCGGGGCCTTCAGGGACAGCCTCAAGGTGAGTGGCTGGGAGAAGTGGCCCAGGGAGGCTGTGGGGGCTGCCACTCCTCAGGCTGGTCCCCTGGTCAGCGTGGCCTAGGGCGTGTCCCTGAGTGCCTGGAAGCAGCTGCAGGTTGCGTGCTCATGGCAGCGTTTGGGTCTGAGGGGGACTCAGGTTCTGAGGAGAGCCATTCCTCTGGGTGATACTCCTGAAGTGCTGTTCTTAAGCCCCCTACACGTTGAAATTGCCTGGGAAGATTTTTTAAAAATGGATTCACATCCATCTCCTGTCCCCACACACCAGGTTTATCTTGATTTGCTGCCTTTGGGGGGAAAAAAATGGGTATCTTGGTCGTACCCAGAGATTCTGGTTCTAACTGGGGTGGGGTCTGGGATGAGCACTGGGGTTTTTAAAGCCCCTCAGTGGTTTTCATGTGTAGCCAAATGAGGACCAGNCCAGTGCCCCTCCTTTGCTCCTGGGTAGGCTGGAGCCGGACAGCACACCCGTTAAGTGTCTTCTCCCTCCTCTCTGCTTCCTCCCCGTGGAAAAGGAACAGTGCTGGAAGGGTCCACAGCAGAGCCAGGGCTGAACCGGAGCAGAAGCTAGAGAAAGCTGGCTTCTCGGTTTTTAAACGACTCATGTTTTTACTGGGATGTGGGCTGTGGAGCAAGAGGGGGTCTGGACGGAGTGGCCAACTGGAGCCCTTATTATTTTGGCCTTCACACCCCAGCACTCTGACTCCCCAGGGTGCCCGTCTTGGCCACATTGCCCTTCTTCTGGCCCCTGGGGACCCTTCCATCCTGTTAGGCTGGCAGCCCTCCGACTTTGCTGATCCCAGTGGACTGGTTTCCATTAGGAGGGTTTGGGATTTGGTTTTTGAAAGATGAGCAGAGATGAACGATTGACTGATGTATGGGTGGTGCTGGGTGGCATTTATTTTGGACCTTCACTGTCACCTCCGATTGTGGGGAAGAGAGCAGCTTAGCCCAGCAGACCTGCGCATTGAGAATAGTCCCAAGCCGTGACCCTGAGGTTAAGAAACCTGTTTCCAAATCTAAAAGTTAGCCCTGGCTGAGTAGTGCAGTTGATTAGTGTGTCATCCCAATACTCCAAGGTTTCGGGTTCAATCCGTCAGGGCACATACAAGAATCAGCCACTGAGTGCGTGAATAAGTGGGACGACAACTCTCTAAAATCAAGTAAAATTTTTTAAATTTAGTCTAAACTTCCAAGGAAGCCTTGCACTTGGGGAACTGTTGCTCTAGAATTCTGGCTTTTTTCCTGCCCCCCAGGTGCTTTTTTATTGCTCAGTCCTACGTGTTGGTGAAGAAGTGGAGCGAAGCCCTTGTCCTATATGACCGAGTCCTGAAATACGCAAATGAAGTGAGCGCAGGGTCCGGGGCCTTCAGGGACAGCCTCAAGGTGAGTGGCTGGGAGAAGTGGCCCAGGGAGGCTGTGGGGGCTGCCACTCCTCAGGCTGGTCCCCTGGTCAGCGTGGCCTAGGGCGTGTCCCTGAGTGCCTGGAAGCAGCTGCAGGTTGCGTGCTCATGGCAGCGTTTGGGTCTGAGGGGGACTCAGGTTCTGAGGAGAGCCATTCCTCTGGGTGATACTCCTGAAGTGCTGTTCTTAAGCCCCCTACACGTTGAAATTGCCTGGGAAGATTTTTTAAAAATGGATTCACATCCATCTCCTGTCCCCACACACCAGGTTTATCTTGATTTGCTGCCTTTGGGGGGAAAAAAATGGGTATCTTGGTCGTACCCAGAGATTCTGGTTCTAACTGGGGTGGGGTCTGGGATGAGCACTGGGGTTTTTAAAGCCCCTCAGTGGTTCTCATGTGTAGCCAAATGAGGACCAGTGCTGAAGCTGTTCCCCATAGGCTGCCTGGGCCAGCAAGCAGCCTGGGTGTTTGCTGGGAATGCTGACTCCCAGGCCCACCCAGGCCTCTGAGTGGAAATGTGCATTTTAGCAAGATCTGGGGGCGATTGGGTGCTGTCATCGTGCGCTAATATGAGTGCGGGTGATGTGGCTACTTGACTTGTGGAGGGATAGCTGGCTCTGCAAGCTCTCGGGCGGCTGCGGTGATGCAGATTCTTCAAGCAGCGCTGGTCCAAGGAGCCCATGTATGTTTTATGAGTAGAGACTGTTTAGAAGAATGAGCTGAGGTTTAAAATAATAGCACTATGTTAACGTAGACTCAGGCTGTTTGTTCAGAGCAGCACCAGGCAGGGGTGGGGGTAGAAACTTGGTTTCTGCCTTCAGAGAACTTGTGGTTTTGTCACAGCCACAGACCTGCGTGCTGGAGCCCGTCTGTGAACACAAACGCAGGAAGAGGTCCTGCAGCAAAGGCAGGCAGCTAGGAAGGACTGATGGTGTGGGCAGAGGGAGGGGTGCCCAGTGTGGCAGCAGCGTCACAGTGGGTGTCATCGGGATGTGCAGGCAAACCAGTGCGATGGCTCCTGAGGAGGGAGATGTTTTACAAACACCCATCCTCCCTAATGTTCGGCATAGAGGCCTGAGGGATTCAGCAGGACCCAGACCTCATCAGATCACTCTTGAATATTGTCAAGCAAGAGATGGAGACAAGAAAATGGCCTCGTACTCGAGCCAGACGCCCTGGGGTGACGGCCCAGCTTTGCAGCCCCTGGGAATGCAACCAGGCACATTATTTGGCCTCTCTGTGCTTCAGTCTTACCTATAAAATGGGCACAACCTTCTTCAGGATCCTCATGAAGGTGGAATTAGCATTTGAGTAAACCACTCAGGACATGCCTGGCACAGAATGCATTTAGGGTATGATACAGTTATTTGTTAATACTATCATTAGTCGCATTATTTCCAGGCATTATTACTTAATCCATGGCTTAGCTTTTCCCATTTGCAACAGGCTGGTGTGTTTTTAATAGAAGTGTTTAAAAGTCAAAAAATCCCATGAAAATACAGTGGAGTCCCCTGACTCAGGTTGGTTTGTGCCTCTGGCTGCCCCAGCTCACGAGTGTGTGGTTTCTGAATCCTTGCAGGACCTGCCCGATGTGCAAGAGCTCATCACGCAAGTGAGGTCGGAGAAGTGCTCTCTGCAGGCGGCGGCCATCCTGGGTGAGCCTGCCGTTCCCCACAGCCCCTTCCCTGCCGATCCTCCTCTCCTGCCCCACACTGATCTTTGAAGATTGAATGAGGTTGCTTTGCTTAATCTGTAAGATTCTTATTTTCCCACCATTACTTCTGCCGCATTAAGGCATCAAATTGTGTGGAAGAATTCAGGGAAACTATTATACCGTCCCTTCTCCCTAGTCGTATCTCCCTAGCCGGCACCGGTCTGGGCTTTACCGTCTGCTCTGCATGGCTTCTCAGCAGAGCTGGGGCCCAGCGGGGAGAGGGCTGACTCTCCCATGGGTTGACCTCTTCTGCTCTTGGGATTAGAGCCTACATGTGTGATAGATGTCACTTGTGATCTAGTTTCCTAAGCCCTTGTCCTTACTGAATCCCTGTGACACTTTCAGATGCAAGTGACTCCCACCAAACAGAGACTGCCTCCCAAGTCAAGGACAGTAAGGTAAGTCTGGGCTGGGGCTTCCAAGGAGTAAAATGTAGGATTCCCAACTCATTAGGAACGGTTGCTCCTTGGTAGAAAGGACCCTCAATCTTAAGGACATATCCTACTCCCTCCCTTCTTTTACTCAAAAACCTGGAAGCTGCCTGTATAAGGCTCATCATGTGTCATCTGGATGGTCCCAAATAAGGTTTGGGACTTGCTGTGCAGAGTAGCACCCCTGGCTGGGAGCTCCTACTTGGGCATCTGGCAGGCCTGTATGTACCCTAATCCCAGCCTACCCCTTTCTCAACCTCAGCTATAAAATGGTTCATGGTAGCACTCTCTCACGGGAGATTTGGGGGGATAGGTCGCACATACTGGCCCTGAACTGGGCGCTCCACATGGAGTGAGGCCCTACCGCTGGTCTGTGGTTAACCCTGTTCCCTCCCTGTGACTCGATTTCTAGCCTCTGGTTGAACGGTTTGAGACATTCTGCCTGGACCCCTCCCTTGTCACCAAGCAGGCCAGCCTCGTGCACTTCCCCCCTGGATTCCAGCCCATCCCCTGCAAGCCTTTGTTCTTCGACCTGGCCCTCAACCACGTGGCTTTCCCACCCCTGGAGGACAAGCTAGAGCAGAAGACCAAGAGCGGCCTCACTGGCTACATCAAGGGAATCTTTGGATTCAGGAGCTAACCAGGCTCTTCCTGGGGGCAGGGGGGAGGTTCTGACTCAGTCTGTATTGTGCGAAAACCCCAGCAAGTTCCGTGATATTAAATCCAGGTCCGAGTTGGCCCGGGGCGGGTGCGATGTCCTCAGCCCTGTGTCCATGTCTTGTGTGTTTGTGCACTTACATCCCTAACCATGTGCTGGAAGGGTGGGAGCCCTATTGTCTTCTGGTGTGTGTGTGCAGGTCCCTCTGTCCCCTGCTCCTGGGGGAGGGCCACTGCCATCTGGTCCCATGTGAGCTGTGACTGATATCCTTGCTCAGTAATGTGTTCAGGGAGGAGGTTCACACCAGGCACGGCGAGGGGTTTGGGACGTTTTATCCCATTTCTTCGGTACCGTGGATTGGAAACGAACTCCTCGCTGTGAGTATCCAGAATCCCTCGAAGTTTGTCCATGACTAGGATGCGTTGGCAGCGTCACCCCAGAATGACAGTCAGCCTTATCCCCTTCGCCTCCGAGTGAAAGTTAAGAAGTTTCAGAACAAGCAAAGAGCTCTATTTTTAGAAGAAATGTGTTACTCTCAGAAATGATGAGAACAAATCTTATATTAAAAGGCAAAGACATTGGAGACTCTGCCCATTTTTTACATGCCCTCCCGCACATCCAGTCCCAGGGCTCTCCTTGGGGGACATGTTGCACATCCTGTCGCCTGTCACAGCAGGTGTATCCTGACTTCCTGGCAGGGTGGGTTTGACGCCAGATGAGAGTGTTGGAGGGAGGCACTGTTCTACAGAGTTCCCAGAATAACTTTTAGTTGCTATTGTATTTTAATCAGTTTCTTTCATTACCTCATTTCTTTAGTCACTCTTTTATTTCTATTATAGCATCACTAATAAGTCACAAAAGCAATGTGAGAAAGCAAGGAATAAAGTGATTTACGCATGAGATGCACCTGAAACCTGAATCCCTTTGGAAATGGAAACATCCCATAGGAAGGAAAACCCCCCACGGGAAATGTTGGCGTCAGTGTGGTTCAGACATGGTGCCGACGAGCAGCTTGAGGAGGAGGTTGAACGGTTCAAGGTCAGAGCGTACGAGATGGAAGCCCACTGTGGGCACGTGGGGCTTGCCTCCCAGTGCATTGCAGCGAGAGCACCAGAAGCCAGAGGAGTGCGGTGGGAAGACGAATGGGACAGTCAGAATGGAATGTTGTCAAGGACTCTCGCGATGCTCACAGGCGTGATCTCTCCTCCCCCGGGGTTTGCGTTGGGTCAAAGAGCTGATTTTTTTTTTTAATTGGGAAGTTTCATGGTCTCGGCCACACAATGTAGGGTTACCCTCCCTCTCTCAAAATATAGCAGATCTTAGGTTGTCTTGGGTTTTGGTCCGAAGTCTCGGGGCCTAAGGGTCTGAGGGAGGTTGGGGATTTCACCCCTCCCTTGCCCTCCTGCAGCTCCCCAGTGCACTCAACAGCACCAGGGCTGCGGTCCAGGTCCCATCTCCCTCGCCACCTCGAGCTGACCTTGGCCAAAGCCACAGCCAGGATTGTCCTTCAGTGCCAGGAACCCAGTGCAAGGCCCCACTATGCTGGCAGTCCTCCCGCCTACCTGTGCCGGCGTCTGTGGCACTGTGGGGGTTGGACCAGGGCTGGAGAAGCTCCAGTCATCTGGGAAGATGTCCCTTTGTCTTGCTCATGGCCCTTCCAGCACCTCCGGTTTAGAGTGCAGGCATCAGTTATTCTCATCACTACTCTCCTAAGCTTTTTCTTTCTCATGACCACACTAGAAATTTCCCTCCTCCTGGCATCCCTGCTGGCTGCCCTGACTAGTGTGGCTGTGGTCAGCCAGTGAGGCTGGGACAGGACATGTTTGGTGTTACAAGTACATGTTTACATAAGAGGACAGGGCTGGCAGGGCCGAGGTCTCCTGTCGGCTCGCACATCCCTTCACATTGGGTCCCTGGACATTAAACAGGGGTTGTGGTGGGGGACAGAGTGCCAAAAGCAGGATCCCATCCTGTCCTCGGGCCCAGGAAGCTGCTTTCACCTCTGAGAACAGGTTCCAAATCAGGCCCTGGGCCAATGGATTCAGGAGTGAAACAGCAGAGCTCACATGGTTCTTCCTTCCCAGGGAGCAGGTGACACAGTGAGGTGTGCAGGTGTAAGGAGTGGATGTGGACACCGCTTTGTTTCCAGGGGTCTTTCCTGCTGTTCGGGCTCGAGTCCCCCGCCCAGGATAGGCTGGACGGCCAGCAGGTTGGATCCTGTGAGGGTCTTCTCTCTCCCCAGACCGAGAGTAGGAGGAAAGCTCAGTTCTGTTTGTCTTTTTAAGATATCATATGGGCTGCTGTGTTAATGATTTTTGTTTTTGTACTTGCTGGGGGTGATGGTCTTGATCTGCAGAAATATTAGAAGCAAAAAGCTGACTTTAGTTATCGAGGTAACGCTCAGCATGGGGTTGAAAAGACACAATTTGGCCAAGTTTGCCTTTAACCCTGTTGGTTCTGTTTATAATAAGGAGCATGGGCAGCTGGAACTGGATGTTTTTACCCTTTTCATACGCGTTGTTTTGATGTACTGTCTCTGGTTTTACATTAAGCCAAGCGAGGGTTCTGGACTCCCTGCTTGAAATGAAACACTACTGGGCTTGGTTCCATCTCCTTCACCTGCTGGCAGCCTAAGCCCTTCACTGTGGCCGTGAGGTAGGAAGGCAGTGTGCCCGTCCACCCGAAATGGCCCTGGACCACCGTCGGTCTTTGCTCCCGAAGCTGAGGGAATGGCCTCGCCGTTCTCGGAGAGGAAGCCGACTCCAGGGACTCGAAAGTGGGGCTGCGCTCTGCCCCTCGCCCCTCACTGCAGAGCCCGCTCTTCCTACGCTCAGCCTCATTCACTACACGCAGAGCTAACTGGTCACTGAATTCTAAACAGCGCGCTGCTGTCTCGGCCTCGGAAAGCTTGGAACCTTCAGAGGTCTAGGAAAATGTCCAAAGATAGCAAAAATATGTGTTGGTTCTAATTTTTTGTTTTGAAGACACTTGTTGCTACAGAGGAGATGGAAACCAGACTTGGCTGTAAAATTTATCACTGTTCCAAAGCAAAGATAAATTGGAAACTGCCCACATCCTGACAACAGCAATGGGAAGAATCCAGCCTGTTGGTGTGTTGGATGTCAGGACACGGTGCGCGTGGGAGGGGGGCGAGGTGGGACACAGCCCCTAGCTGCAGGGGGTCCGCCTCCCTGCCTGGCGCAGTAACACTGGAGGTGTTAACTAGCTGTGTTAGCAGTTGGTACAAGTTAAAAGAAAATATAATCTCAAATGACTAATACGGATGGAATACTTGTGGGAATCTTGTCTCACAGTTTAAGGGACCTAGGTGTGCTTTTGGTTTTGCTCTTGCTTTGGGGGCAGGGCTGGGACCGCCTGGGCAGCCCCGTTAGAGGCCGCAGAGACCCCCAAGGCAGCGGCCCTGCTTCCTCCCTCGGCCGGTCGGCGGCACCCACCCAGGGGATGGTAACTGCACCGGAAGCGGGGCCTTGCTTCTCTGGTCCCCGTTTTTAGCAGGTGGTTTTGTTCACCTCCGTGAACTGCAGCTATGTGTCCTCACACTCAGGCTATGTTTGAATGACCCCTCGCCACCTGGCAAAGAGCCACATCCTCCATGAGGCTGAACTGTCCCCGGGGATCTTCAGGCAGGAGGCTGTTCTGACGGCAGGGAGCCGGGTCCCTGAAACCGGTCACATTAGCTAGTGCTGTCTGGTCTGGGGGAGAGGGGGCGAGCATCCCTTCACCTGAGCCCTGTCCAGGCTCTGACCTGGGGCCCATGGGGGGAGCCCCGCCCAGCTGGGCTGCGTCTAGAAGTGTCCCCTCTTCCTCACCCCGGCCCTGCAGTGAGGAGGTTCCCGCAGTGAGCCCAGGGTCCGGTGAGTGGGCCCCGCGGGCCTCTCCCTGCTCTGAGCCCTTCTCTGCCTTTCTCTTCGGTCCTCCCAGAGCCGAGTCCCGCTCGGTCTAAGCAACGTCATTAGGGCAGCAGGCTGAGTCACGTGAGCTGCCCTTGCGTGCTGCCCAATTTCCTGGCAATAAAGACTAATTAGGAATCAGTCTGTGAAGACTGTTATTAGTTTCCCCCCCGCCTGCTTGTTCACCTTATAAACCTTTTCTTCCCAAACCAGGAGCGGGGCTCAGTGTGATTTAGCCGCTGCTCTTCGCAGAGCCGGTGCAGCTCCCTCCCGCTGCCACGTGTGCTGTTGACCTTGCCAAGGACACGGTTAGCCAGCTGCCCCCGTCAGACCCGAACTTCTTGATAGGGCTGCAGGTCCCCACAGCCAGCTGTGAAGGCCAGCCATCCTTCAAGGTGGCAGAGGGACCCAGAGCCCTTGGGCAGCTTGGGAGACCCAGAGGCCCCGCAGTTCCTGGCTGAGAGTGGGCGGGCTGTGGACTCCTGGAATTCAGGGATGGCTTGTGCCACAAGCTGCTGCTATGGCCCGGAGACGTGGGTGTACCAGCACTGGTCCCACAGGTGAGCTGGCGACAGAGGAGGCTCATCTCCTAACTCCCGTCCCCACCAGCCCTTGTCCTCTCATCCCAGCTGGTGGAGGGACCTTCAGTCCTCAGCAAGCCAGGGAAGGCAGGGCAAGAGGTGGGCCAGCCAGCTTGGCTCCCAGGGTCTGGTGGCAGAGCTTCTGTGCAAACAGAGGGCAATTTCCTGAGATGGCAAAGCTTATCCTGACCAGGGAGCACCTGGGGGCCTGGAGATCGCCACCATCTGCTTCATCAGGGAGAATGCCCTTCCCTGCAGGAGCCCAGGAGCTGGGGGAGAGTGGGTAGCTTAAACCCTGGAACATCCGAGCTGCCACCCGTTGCCTAGCTGCATGGGTGCGTGTGTGGCAGCCTCGGAGCTGGAAGCTACGCTGCTCTCAGCTCTGAGCGGCCCTCTTGCTCCAGCCCCAGGCCCCATGAGCTGTCAGCAGCCCATGTCAGCCCTCCTGGAAGCGCCAGGCCAGGGGACGTAAGCTGCCATTTGAAGTCATAGTTGGCACAGTGCTGGAGGGAGACTTGGGATCAAGTGATTGCAAACCTCTCAATCCACAGAGTAAGCAAGTGCCAGGCGAGAGGAAGGCCTTGGGGCAGGACAAGAAGCCAGGTCCTGGGCCTCCTGCCTGGTTCGAAAGGGGGAGACAGGCCTGGTTCAAAAGGCTGCAAGTCGGGGCCCCTGCCCAGCTTCCAGGTCGGAGCTGTCTGGCAGAACTGTACTGTGAGGCACAAGTGCAAGCCACGTCTGTCATTCCAAATTTTCTAGTGGCCACGTTAAAAAAGTAAAAAGAAACAGGTAAAGTTAATTTAAAAAAATATATTTCACTTAACTATATATATCCAAAATGTCATTCTGACGTGTAATCGATATAAAACTCTATTGAGATGTTTTACACCCTCTTTTCACACTAAGCTCTGAAATCCAGCTTGAAATTTACCCCGACAGCGCATCTCAGTTCTCACTGGCCAGGGCGCAAGAGCCACACGGGGCCCGTGGGCACTGCATGGGACAGCACAGGTCCATCCCTGGTTTCTAAAGGAGCAACTGGCCCTGGCTGGTTTGGCTCAGTGGTTAGAGTGTCGGCCCGTGGACTGAAG